TTTTGTATTTACGCCTGACAACCGGTGCTTATTCTAAGACAATGGTGAAATTTCCTCAGCCATAGTTACGGTATTTAAAAAGGCAGTTAAATTTTAATTCCAATGCTCCCATCGTATTCGCGTTTATTATTCTATCAGGCAGCATGCCTAAGAAGACATTTGTCATTTGTGCTGGCAATTTAGGTTAGAACTTATAGGAAAAAAAAACTAAATGAAGAGTTCAGGATCATGCACATTTTAATCACTACCAAGCACACACCCCTCTTTACGCGTTTGCGATCGTGCCGTTAGGAGACCGTCTGGGTCATCTCTGTCTTACGTTTTACCGAAGAAATTGCAACCTAGCCACATGGTGTATTTGCCTCCACTTTAATCCGCACTCTTGATATTGAACGCCTTATTTGGAAAAAAAGAACCGGAAGTTCATTGATTAAATCTATTTTTTTTTAGTGATGGCGATGCTGAACATGAACCAGGTGAGTTAGAATGTTGGGCTGCAATCGAGGCGCAGCTTCTCGGAGACAAATCTACGTCCAAACCTATTACCACATTTGAGGAGGGTTCTGCCATGTACGCTGGTATGGATTTCCAAGATCTTTCCGAGACTGTCCGTGATCAACTTAAACTATTAGCTGACAACAAGCAAAAAGAGTCGTTTGCGCCACCAGGTAGATAAATAATTGAATGCTAGCTGAAATTTGTATTTATCATTTTTTATGTTTTTCTTTAATTCACAACCTTCACGTTTTTGATCAATAGTTCTATTTTATCTGTAATTCTATCGATAATTTATATAAATTGCCTCTCAGAAATTTTTCACTTATGCCTTCTTTATAATCAAAATACGACATAATTAGGAGATCCGTAGATGCCTAACAAAATTTATCCAGGGATGATTACGAAACGGTGGATTTCCTTAAATACCCATTACGCAGCATTTTATGATTTATTATATACGAACAAGAGGGATAATAGCTGCCTAACGGAGTTAATTTCTCACAATGTACGATACACACCATCACCTTATAAAGAGCATCAGAGCTTTTGTTGAACACGTCAGTTTACAGTTTACTGGTCACCTAAGGTACTTACTTACTTACTTGTACTTGTTACGGCTGCGATCATGACTGATCT